GAAAGCCACGCTCCCCCCTCCCTGCACTTCAGGTTCAGAATTCACCTTTAATTACCTACACAAAAACGTGGTCCTCTCCCCCTTGGCATCTTGGAGGGGACTCACCTAATCCATGGGGACAGTCCTCTACTTGCTCTTTATTTCTCTCTCTTATCATCGTCTTTCCCTCTCTGCCATCTTCCTGCTATTCTTTTCACCAACTTGCATTTTCTTTCCATGCTGCCTTATAATCACCTGTCTTTCACATGCCCTCAGTCTCTCATTTTTGCCAGAGATGTAAAATCCCATTTAATAAGTTAACCAATTAAATTTTAACTGGTTAACTGATTCAGTGGAGGCGAGTGGGGTGCTGCTTCAGTGGCCCCTTCCCTGCCTGCATCCCCTTTAATTGGTTAACCCATTAAACAAGATGTTACATCCCTAACATAAGCTTTCATATTATCATATATTTTTGTGGGTTTTTGTCCACAAATGCTTACATCCAAATAAATCTGTTAGTCTTTAAGGTGCCACAGACCTCTTCATTTTTGTGTCTACAGACGAATACTGCTATCCCTCAAATACTTGCCATAATGTCAAAGTAGCCCCTGTGAACAACAATAAGACTTTCATAGCATAAAGAGGAGTCCTTCTATTTTCTACTCTAATACTGGTGACTAGTAGATCCCCTGTCTCTGGAATCAAGCCTGACAATAAAATGGAAAGTTCTCAGCAGACTGTGAGAATGTTTTGTGAAAGCGAAATTGACTAATAGTAACTGCCAATTCATATGGGATTATTTGACTGAAAATGTTAGCTTACTACTCACTTCTATTTTTAAACCCTTTCTGTTTCTTCCTGTAATTGGATCAGTATGAATTAGTTACAGTAAATGCATTGCAGTCTTTCTCCCACTCCTTCCCCAGAAGTCTGATGGTTGTCATAGCCTGCTAGTTGTCTCAGAACAGCACCCACTTAAATCTAGCGCGTATAATACAGATATGATTTTACTTAAAATCCTGAGACACTTACAGTGCTTTCTTTTTAGTAAAGTTTTAAGGGAAAATTCCTGGTCTGGGTGAGGGTTCAGAAGGAATGATTAGACCTTTTTTCATCTGCTGTTTAATCATATGCTGAAAAGAACAAGCGTTTAGTTTACCATTTTGTTCATGCTTTCAATCAGAACACATTGTGGTCTTCCATTTTTCAGTGCCTACCATTCTTTATCTGTTTCTCTATTAACCCTGCAGTGCTTGTACTGGTGATGAGGAGAGCAATATTTTTATTTTTGTATTCAGTTCGTATTTATTGGTTTTTTTTTTGTGAGCCTAAATGTTCTTGTTGCGGGTCCTGCTGCTTTTCACAGCTCTTTCAGTTTGGTGCTCAAGGAGTTACATGGTACAGTTCAGTATGTTACATATCCCTATCACGCTGTCAGGTAGAGAAATATTATCAAATGTAGCAGCTTTCCTAAATGGGGCAATATCCCTTTCAGCATTTGTAGATGTTGACCAATGTTCCCTATAAGATGAGCGCTTGAGCGGCCACTCAGGAGAGATTCAGGTGCAACCCAGCTGATTAGCAGGGAGCCCATATGGTGCACATCCATTCATGCCTTTGTGCACATAACATTTATTCTACTCATGGATGGAAAAAAAGAGGGAAGGGGAAATTTTGATCAAGGACACAGAAAAGTGCCACGAGACCTTGAAGTCTTTATTAAAAAAATTAAAAGTTAGTAACTAATGAGGAGTAGATGCTGGTAACTGATTGCATGTACATGGAAGCTAGAATAGTGAGGATTTGAGCATAAGGTGAACAGATAAGTGACACCTGGAGGAGCAGAGTTATCCACTGAATGGAACTCAAAGTGGAGTGCAAATAGGTTAGGACCTGTCTTAAGCTTTGGGGTAGGCTATTCCTGGTCTTCTACTTTAATGGTGTGTCAGGATTGTGCACATGGAGCAGAGAGAATCTCAGTTTCCAAGGCCTCTAACTAAAAAGATCCACACAAAAGATTAACAGCAAGAAGGGCTGAGTTAACTCTTGGACTTGAACCTGAGTTCTAGCAAGTTTTATCATTGCAGAGACACTGTTAAAACAGCCCTGCTAACTGCTTTCTTGGATTAGGAAGGGATTTGGACTCTGAGAACATCTTGCCATTCCCCTTATGCACTTGTTTGTCATTTCTTAAAAATGACTCTTGCCCCATATCTGTTTGAATGTCACTAGTTGGTTCTTCCTTTCATGGCATACTTATCAACATCAGAAGTTGGGTTCTATATAGTCAATTCCTTGAGTCTGCAGTGTTACCAGCCCTTATCTCAGCTACTAGAGCAAAACGGTGCTGAGCCCTCTTGCCACAGGGCCAGGCAGTTGAAGCCTGAGAGAAGAGCAGCGGTGCATGAAGCTGCACGCCTAAAGCAATTCCCAACAGGAAGAATGGAAAACCCAGTTTCTTATTTAGAATGACTTTGAAATCTGGCCTTATAAACACACCTGGGTTTTTCAGTTTAGAATTGGAAGGTGACTAGCCTGTTATAAATCATGTTGCAAATGCACTCTTGGGGTTTCCTAGGTGTCCGGGGGAGGAGGGGAGGGAAGTACTGGACAGTTTTAAACTTTTGGGATCCTCAGGATTCTTAAGCCGTAGCTGTCAGTAAAGACAACACTGAAGAAACAGATACTTGATAGCAACTCCCTGGTTCAAAACTGCTTGGAGTCACTTCTCTGGTATGATTTTGTTATTTAAAAATGCTTGTTCTGCAGTTGAAAACCTGTGTGAAATGGAGCATGTTTAATGTTTCTCTGACTACCCAAAAGGGTTATTCACCCAAATGGGACTGTTTGCGTTTAGAAAAGAGAGGGCAGGTGATCTTGCCTGGTTCACAGGAAACTGGGTTTGAGTCACAGCTCTGCCATAGTCTGTGACTTTGGGCAAATCACTTAAATCCTCTGCCTCAATTCCTCATCTGTAAAAGGTGGAGATTCTTCTGAGCTATTAGAACAAATTCCTGGGAAACCCTCATATACTTTGAGGACCATATAAATATCTCGATACATGAGATGAAAGGGAATTGTCTCTTCTGCTTTGGAGTAATTTGAAATTTCCTGTGCTTCCTCCTGTGCCTAGTATTACAGGATAATAGCCTTTGAATAAAGCCTGCTTCTGCTAGTGCAGATTTCCCAAAATGTGCTCCGTGGAGCCCTGGGGCTTCGTGCCATGGGTCCGGGGGCTCCACAACAAAATATTAATGTCAATTGTACAACCCTGTTATTGTGTTACTAATTTTTTTTTTGGGGGGGGGGGGGGGAGAATTTAATTTTTTTTTTGGGGGGGGGGAGGGGAGAATTTATAAGAAATATGTAAGAAAGGAAAAAAAAGAATTCCAAAACTTGGTCTGTTTGGTACCTATTAAATTAAAATCATGTTATTTCAAGGGGTCTGCCAAGTTTTCAGGACCCCATGGGTCTGGGAAACCCTATGCTAAGGTTATGTCCTTGTCCCATGGATTACATGTGACAAAACTTGAAGTCTTCTAGAAACAATTCTAAGTCACATTTTCTGGGTTTCTCTTCATCTATTTAAGTTACATGAGGCAATTGCATGTGTTTGCCAGAATTACTCTGCATATTTTGTACCTGAGATACCTTCCAC